AAGATGTCACATTTTCTACACTATCTCCTGATAAAATCCCAGATCCCAAAAAGTTTAATGCTAAAAGAAGTACATTAGCGATATTTGAAGATCTTTACTCTGACCCCCAGCTATACAGAAAAAAATTATTCCATTTTTTACTCGAGGTCGTCATGAGAATATTTCCTCAATTTATATTGCTCAGAAATTCCACAAAATCCCAATAGATATTCGCGAAAATGCCACTCACATTGTTTCTCTTTAATGGTGGGGGCTCTATTCGAAAACTTGCAGATATTATAAGTCCTTACACTGATGTAGATCTATGAAAAGCTTCAAAAATTATTAACGTTTATTTGAGGCAAAAAGAGTTTATAGTTATAGATCTGAATAAACCCAGATCTAAGTCTTTCTCACTTCGGTGGGACACCCCTCTTGATCTAGAAAAGGAAATAGAAAGGTTAAAAGATAATAAACATTCTACCTAACCAGATCGAGATTTCAGAAATGCAATAAATTTTTAACCTTTTGTACTATCTGTGCTTATATAAAGAACCAAATATGAGTCACCCTCTTATTCTTCCGGAGTTACTTGAAAATATATTCAGTTTCTTGGCTAAGGATAAAGCACTCTATCCAGCATTATTTGTCAATAGACTTTGGTATCACTGCAGTGCCCCGATTCTATGGAGACACATTGAGTTTTCTATAGAAGGTTATCAGCAGAATCGGTATAGTAAAGATACATCTGGATCTCTTTATTGGCAATTAAGAAAGTTTAAAAGAGTTATGTGCAGAAAGACAAAACCTCCATATTGCTCAAAGATGGTATATCTCAAATTGGTGGGTTTAAAAATCTCAGATGAATTACTCAGTACAATTCTGCATTCATGTCCAGATATAAACTTTCTCATCCTTGATCGAAGTCATGGTTTTAGTAATATACCAATTATAGAAATTGCAAAATATTGTCCGAAGCTACTACATCTGAGTCTTGATGCGTGTACAGCTATTACTGATAGATGTGTTAGTGAAATAGCACAATCTTGTCCAAATTTAAAATACATAAGTCTCGCTTCTTTGTATAGAGATAGTAACATTTCCAGTGTATCTGTGATTGAAATGGCACGATCTTGTTCCAATCTAGTATATTTAAATCTCAATGGACAACCTTCTATTAATGATGAATCAATTTGTGCAATTGCACGCTCATGTGTAAATCTTCAACACCTGGATTTGTCATTTAATGAAATAATTACAGATGAAGCTATATGCACAATTGCAACTGGCTGTCCAGATATACGAAATTATTTTCTCGAAGGCTGTGAATGGATTACTAACAAATCAATCAAAAAAATTGCAGATTTAAATAAAAACCTACAAAATATTAGTCTTATTTCATGTTATAAAATTACGGATGATGCTGTATGTAATATAGTTCATTCATGTTCAGACATTCAGAATCTTAGTTTTTAATATATTTATATCACCGATAAAATGATATATGAAATTGCACACTACTGTTCTAATTTACTAGTTCTCAATGCAAAGAAATGTCCGTTTATTTCTGATGAATCAATCTACTTTCTATTAAGCAAAAAACCAGCACTAGAGCTAATATTAGATTGGGTTCCGATATAGGCTGAGATAAAATCACGTTATATAGTTAGTTTGATAATCGAATATTTTTCAGTTGTAATTTTATTCTATTAATATAAATACATCCTACTTGCCACTTCTTATATAATTGAGAATAGAGGTCCAATCCGGATAAATCCGTCATCCATTTATCCATATCTGAATTTATCCGGACATCCATTTACTATTGGTATCCGGATAATCTGACAAATATTCAGATAATTATCCAGATATCGATAGTAAAACGGATATCCGAATAAATTCAGATCTGGATATCCAATAGATAAATGGATAAACAGATAATGGATAGGAACTCTAATAATAATAATAATAATAATAATAAAATGGATAAAACTTACTAAACCCTTTGAAATTAATACTTCCTTCAAAAGTCTGATTGCAGATTCAATTGAGGAACTTTTTAACTCTAGATCAAAACAAACCACGGACCAATTATATAAATTGGCACTCTGCAATAATAAACATGTTACTGAAATATCCATGAATAAATGAATTTTAAGCGATGCATAAAGTTTTGAGTAATTACCTCATTAAATTTAGGTGCATCCCATTCACCCTTTTCAGTAGTAATTTGTTTATTATTAATAATTATTTCCGGTGAATTGAGTCTTTTTGCTGAATAAGTAGAAAAAACATTGTTAAATTTAATAATAATCAACCTTATAGTATGTTTAAAAAAAATTTATATAAATACATTAATAATAATAATATATTAAATGTACTACCTTTGATTTTCAAGAATCCACTGTTTTCAACATCAAATGAAATAGATTTTAACCTTTTGTCGCTTCCATGTCTGTATTCTTTTTGAATACCTTTATCTATTTTATCAAATCTCTCTTTCGGCCCAATCACAGTCTTTTTAATCATATCCTCTTGTTGAAGTTGATTGAGATCATCAGTCTTATGTTTTTGACCTAAGAATGATTTTTAGTCTGTTAAATATAATAAATAAATGAATAAACATAATTGAAAGTTGGCAGAAGTCTTACCACGAGATAACACACAAACTTCTAAAGGAAAGAATTTAATACGATTCCCTTTTTTAACTACAATACACGGAAGGTTTGGATACACCAATGGTAAATCTGATTCTTCATAATATTTCTTAACACTAGTTTGCACACCATCTTTGTTAAAAGTTATTTTATCGGCCGATTGTGAAGAAATATCGGTAATTGTATTTTCAGATTTGGAATAAGTGGTGGTAAATTTTAAATTTTTTAAAAATCGTCTGAGATCGTTATGAGTCAAGAGTTTAGTTTCTGTATGTCAATAAACTATTATTTTATTATTATTTTTTTTTTGTACAAGTTCTGGGTTACTACAGTAACTATTATTAATCAAATCCAATCCAATCCTTAGATTTACAATCTCATGTTAGTCAGCTTGGAACTGCTCGTTCTGCATTTTATCATGTGATTTTAAATCAGGGAAATTTTTCTGCCGATGAGATTTATAATTTGACTTTTAGGCTCTGCTTTTTATCTTCCAGGTATTTAGGAACATTTTACAATTTATTTGAGGCTAAAAAATTTTTTTACATGAAATTTAATATTGTAATGTATTTATTTTTTTAAGATGCAATCGCGCACTGTCACAAGTAACACCGGCTAGTTATGCTCATAATATTGCAAACCTTGCTAGATATTTTGTTGAATATAAATCTATATCGAGTGAACGAGGTCGAGGTCGAGGCCGGGGACGGGGGAGAGGAAGAGGTCGAGGTGGTAATAATTTGGTCCCCACTCGACCCGAGAAAGTTCAAGATGGAAAATGGCACCGTGCAGACTCAAAAATTGAAAATCAACCGTTCTTTCTTTAAAGACGATTTTTATTTGTACACTATATGTATATTACACGTATCACGTAATCATGTATCTCTTCTATTATCTATTATATCAATAATAAGGCAGGACGGGTATTATGGCGCAGGAGGCATTGTGGCGCACTCATGCTTTTTTGCGATCCACTGATTAGAATTGAATAATTTTGGTACCATTCGATTCGTCTTATCGAGACGAACTTAATGGTACAAAAATCGCTTTATTTGGATAATCAGACCTCGAAATAAATACGTATAAATTTTTAAGAGAAATCCATAAATTTTGTTAATGTTACCCTAAAAATCCAGTTGCATATGATTACATGGTGGATGTAAAATTCGAACCTTTAGCATATTATAAAACAAAAATTCAAAGAAGAGACCGTTGACTTGGTAGCTAAGCCTAAAAAACAGTTATCGGTCATATTTTTAACTAAGGCTGTTCTCAAGCATCTAAATCAATTGATCAGATAATAATCGTGATGACGCTCAAGCATCACAATTTGTATTTATTACGCTCATATTAATCGATTATTTGTTTTAAAAACTTTGAACATTAAAAATAAAGTGATTATCTTTTTAGACTGGTTAGAAATTTGTTGAGAATTAATTGTTTATTATGTTTGATTTGTAAAAAATGTAAAAATAATAAAAGAAAAAAAAAAAATTTGATCAAATCCAAAAAATCAAATTGAGTGATCTGATAACAAAGATAATCTTGTATCAAAATGGCAAAAGTTTTTATACATAACTCAAATTGAATTTTCTCAGGAAAAGACTCATACAAGCAATATATGATCTTTTAAGCCTGAGATGTATTTTTCCTTTATATGGAACATATTACATATTAGCCAATTTTGTTTATACCCCAAAATTAAGGGGTGTGTTTACAAGGGTCATACAATCATTTGACAATGTATAAATAAATTGTGTACAATACTGCAATATGAAATTATTAAAGTAATAGGTAACTTAATAACCAAAAAAATTCTTTGACGAATGAGCAATACTTCAAGTATGTATACATATATAAATTTAAATAAACTAACACTTAACTGATCTAATTTGTGTTATGTATAAAATAAATATATAAGCATATACTGAACTTAGACTGTTGATTGCAGAACATTAAGCTACAGCAAAAACACTAGAAAAAGGCTTGAAGAGGCTATTTTCGATGAATATATTATAATAAATTTACAGTCTCTACAGAGATTGATTTCAAAGGTTTTGTTGAGGCTTTTAAATAATTGTACATAAACGCCTTATAGTTAATGAAAGTATATATAAGGTATTATTTATTTTAAACCTACTACTAAATAATAAGTTCTTATAATTTATGATTATGATTCCCCGAAAGTTACTTCCCCGCCAACTCATTTCCCCTACACCATAATGCCGACATGCTATTTTATCTAAAGCACATTTATTCGATAAGATACATATTCGACATTACATATTATAAACAATCCTTTTCTTAGACAAGACATTTCCCCGACAATTATTTCTTCTACATATAATTTTAACTAACATTTGCTCTAAATCAGGCCAGATCGGGCTAATTTTATGTCGAGGAAATGATTGTCATGGAAATGTCTTGTCTAAGAAAAGGATTGTTGAAAAAATATAATGATGAATATATATCTTATTGAATAAATGTGCTTTAGATGAAATAGCATGTTGGCATTATGGTGTCGGAAAAATGAGTTGGAGAGAAAGTAACTTTCAGGGAATTGAGCAACAACCCAATTTGATATTGTATAGTGTCTAATTTATTTTATTAATCTTATATTAATTCACCAATACTCTAATATTTTACTATTTGAAAAAATTCATTTCAAAAATTGCAGATTTTGAACTATTAAGCAGATAAATAAAATTTCTGAACTTCAAACTTAGTGGCTTATGAAATGCCAGCTCATCTAGAACCTAAACGACAAATATAAAATAATAAAAAATCTGATGTCTATACTTAAGACTAATTTTTGGAAAATTTGAAGCGGAAGACCAAA